TAGGGAAGTTTTCAACTACTGTTTCGTAAAATAAATTTTCAGCCTCCTTTTTTTCTCTCTCTTCTCCTTCTGGGATCCCTATAATGCAAATGTTACTATGCTTGGTGTCACTGAGTTCCCTTAACCTATCCTCATTTTTTATTATTCTTTTTTCTTTTTCTGTTTCATTTGGATTCTTTCCATTACTCTGTTTCCCAGCTCACTGATCTATTCTTCTGCTTCATCTAGTCTAATATTTATTCCCTTGAGTGAATTTTTAATTTGTTATTGTTTTATCTCTAGTTGGTTATTTTTATATTTTCTCTTTGTTGAGGGTCTCACTGGAACTTCCACCCTTTTCTGAAGGCTAGTGAGTATCTTTATGACCATTCCTTTGAATTCTCTATCTGGCGTATTGCTTATCTCCATTTTGTTTAGTTCTTTGGCTGCAATTTTGTCCTGTTCTTTCATTTGGGACATATTCCTCTGTCTCCTCATTTTGTCTAACTCTCTGTGTCTGTTTATTTGTGTTAAGAAAGTCAGCTACATTTCCTGCTCTTGAAAATAGTGACCTTATAAAGAAGAAGTCCAGTAGTGCCCTGTAGTGCAATGCTCCCTGTGCATCAGAACTTGGGGCTTTAGGAGTGTCTCCTAAGTGTGTTGTGCATGCCCTACTGTTGTGATTGAGATATGTTTGCCTTCAAGCCAGTTGTCTTCAATGGCTCTCTTTACCTGTTGTGGACATTGTTTGGTCTCTGTGATGTTAGGGACCAGACTGGGTCTTCCTTGAGCTTGAATTGAGTCAGGCCAGATGCCTACTCTCAGCTCACTTGCCAAAACTGTGGTCACACTGAACTACAGGGTGCTCTTTCTGCATTGTCCCCTGAGAGGCTTTCATTTGTGGGTAGAGCAGTCAGACTAGATGTCTGTTAGGGTTGCAGTGACCCCAAACTGCTGGAGTCTCTCTTTGTACTGTCCCTTGTAAGATTTTTGTTGGTTGATGGGAACAGCAGTCAAATCAGATGTCTGCCCTCAGCCCACTGCTGGGGTTGCAGTTGACCTGATATATGTGGTTATCTTCCCCTCTACCCAAGACAAGAGTCATTCTTAAGTGGTGTTTGCCACTCTTGGGGCTGCTTACACAATACCACACTTGTTGTTCAGTTTTGGATGGACTCCTGCCAAGTAGGGCTGATTGGACAGGATGGATACACAGGAGAGCCAGAGGTAGGCTTCACAGCATTAGCAAGGTATGTTGTCAGTCTGCTTGTGGGCAAAGATGTGGAGGTGCTTTGGAGGAACTCCTGCAGAGAAGGATGGGTTGGATTGGGCAGTCCAAGGAGAATGAAGGGACAGGGTGTGTTGTTAGCAAAGCTAGGTAGGGAGTGTTCATGCTGGTTTTTGCATGTTGGTATATTCAGGCTGGGGGGGGGCAGAAATAGTGCCAGTCAGCTTCTTTGTACTTAGAGAAGTCTCCAAAGATCCTTGCCCTTCTTGTGCTTGCTCTGAGACCAGTAAATACAACTCCTTCCTGAATACACCTCTCAAACCACTGCTTTTATGCTCTATCTTGGTGAGGTTGTTTGTTATGCTGGCTCTTTAAGGGCATGTACTCAATTACCTATTACTCTTGGGCTTTCCCAGAGCCAAGCCCACTGACTATTAAGGTTCCCAGTGATAAGCTCTCCACTGATTGTAAAAACTCACAAAATTAAGTCCTTCTAGTTTTTTTTAAGATTTTATTTATTTATTTGAGATAGAGAGAGAGAACACAGAGGGAGACTGAGAGGAAGAATCAGACTCCCCACTAAGCAGAGAGCCTGATGCAGGGCTAAATCCCAGGACCCTGAGATCACAACCCGAGTCAAAGGCAGATGCTTAACCAACTGAGCCACCCAAGTGTCCCTAATTTTTTTCCTTAAACTTTAATGAAAAGTATTATTTATAATAGCAAAACTATAGAAACAGCTCAAGTGTCCATTGATAGATGAATGGATAAAAAAAGACGTGGTATAATCTGACAACAAAAAGAAATAAAAGGCATCCAAATCAGTAAGGAAGAAGTCAAACTTTCACTATTCGCAGACAACATGATACTCTGTGTAGAAAACCCAAAAATCTCTCCAAAAAACTGCTAGAACTGATAAAAAAATTTTCAATAAAATTGTAGGATCCAAAATCAATGTATAGAAATCTGTTGCATTTCTATACACCAATAATGAAGCAGCAGAGAAAGAAACCAAGGAATCAACCCCATATGCAACTGCACTAAAAACAATAAGATGCCTAGCCTAGGAATAAGCCTAACCAAAGAGGTAAAAGATCTGTACTCTGAAAACTATAGAACACTTAAGAAAGAAATTGAAGAGCACACAAAGAAATGGAAAAACATTCCATGCTCATAGATTGGAAAAACAAATATTGTTAAAATGTCTATACTACCCAAAGCAATCAACTCATTTAATGCAATCTCTATCAAAATATTACCAGCATTTTTCACAGAGCTAGAACAAACAATCCTAAATCTTGTATGGAACCACAAAAGACCCTGAATAGCCAAAGCAATCTTGAAAAAGAAAAGCAAAACTGTAGGCATCACAATTCTGGACTTCAAGCTATATTATAATGCTGTAGTTATCAAGACAGTATGGTACTAGCACAAAAACAGACACATAGATCAATGGAATAGAAAACCCAGAAATGAAACCCCAACTATATGGTCAACTAATTTTTGACAAAGCAGGAAAGAATATCCGATGGATAAAAGACAGTCTCTTCAACAAATGGTGTTGGAAAAACTGGACGGCAACATGCAGAAGAATTAAACTGGACCTTACTTTCTAATGCCATACACAAAAATCAATTCAAAATGGGTGAAAGACCTAAATGTGAGACAGGAATCCATCAAAATCCTAGAGAACACAGGCAGCAACTTCTTTGACCTCAGCTGCAGCAACTTCTTGCTAGACACATCTCCAAAAACAAGGGAAACAAAAGCAAAAATGAATTATTGGGACTTCATCAAGATAAAAGCCTTCTGCACAGCAAAGGAAACAGTCAACAAAACTAAAAGGCAACTGAGGGACTGGGAGAAGATATTTACAAATGACATATCAGATAAAGGGCTAGTACCAAAATCTATCAAGAATTTATCAAATTCATGGAGCCTGGGTAGCTCAGTTGGTTAAACATCTGCCTTCAGCTCAGGTCATGATCCCAGGGTTCTGGGATTGAGCCCTGTGTTGTGCTCCCTGCTCAGCGAGGAGCCTGCTTCTCCCTCTTCCTCTGCTCCTCCCCCCACTAATGCTCTCTCTTGCTCTCTCTCTCTCTCAAATAAATAAAATCTTTTTTTAAAAAAAGAACTTATCAAACTCAACATCCAAAAAACCCAAAAAGTCCAGTCAAGAAATGGGCAGAAAACATGACAAACATTTCTCCAAAAAAGACATACAAATGGCTAATGGACACAAAAAATGCTCAAGATCACTCATTATCAGGGAAATATAAATAAAAACCACAATGAGATACCACCTCACACCAGTTGGCATAGCTAAAATTAACAACATAGGAAACAACAGATGTTGGAGAGGATGTGTAAAAAGGGGAACCCTCTCACACTGTTGATGGGAATGCCAACTGGTGCAGCCACTTTGGAAAACAGTATGGAAGTTCCTCAGAAAGTTAAAAATAGAACTACCCTACGATCCAGCAATTGTACTACTAGGTATTTACCCAAAAGATATAAAATACAGATTCAAAAGGGTACATGCACTCCAATGTTTATATCAGCATTATCAACAATAGCCAAATTATGGGAAGAGCCCAAATGTCCATTGACTGATGAATGGATAAAGAAAATATGGTGTGTGTGTGTGTGTGTGTGTGTAATGGATAAAGAAGATGTGAGATATATATATATATAATGGAGTATTATTCCAGCCATCAAAAAGCATATCTTGCCATTTGCAATGACATGGATGGAGCTAGAGGTATTATGCTAAGTGAAATAAGTCAGAGAAAGACAAATACCATATGATTTTACTCATATGTGGCATTTAAGAAACAAAACAGATGAACATAGGGGAAGAAAGAAAAAAAAGGAGGCAAACCATAAGAGACTCTTAACTATGGAGAACAAATTGAAGGTTGTTGGAGGGGAAGTGGGCAGGGGATGGAGTAAACAGGTGATGAGTGTTAAGGAGAGCACTTGTTGTGATGAGGACTGGGTGTTATATGTAAATGATGAATCGTTAAATTCTACTCCTGAAACCAATATTATACTATATGTTAACTAACTAGAATTTAAATAAAAACTTGAAACAAACAAAGATGTGGTATCTACAATGGAATATTATTCAGCCATAAAAAATGAAATCTTGCCATTTGCAACAACATGGATGAAGCTACAGAGTATAATGTAAGCAAAATATGTCAGAAAAAGACAAATACCATAGGATTTCACACATATGTAGAATTTAAGAAACAAAACAAATGAGCAAAGGAAAAAAAGAGAGAGAGAGAGATAAACAGACTCTTAACTATAGAAAACAAACTGATGGTTACCACAGAGGAGGTGGGTAGGGGATGGGTGAAATAGGTGAAGAGACCACTTATCATTTTTTTTCACCTCTTTTGTTTGTTTGCTTCAAGTTTTTATTTAAATTCTAGCTAGTTAACACATAGTATAATATTAGTAACATTAGAGAATGTTCTGAGAGTGTAATAAGACTAAGAAGTTAAATAGAAAGAAAACTGCTTCTACTCTTTCAATAAATAATTCTAGAATGAAAGCTTTTTGTCCTGCACAGGGTTTTGAGAGAGAATTTATAAAATTTATAACAAAACGCCAACTATATACAAAGAACGTCAGGTTATATTCATGTCTCATTTTATTTTATTTTATTTTTAAGGATTTCATTTATTTATTTGACAGAGAGAGAGAGAGCAGGAACTCAAGCAGGGGGAGTGGGAGAGGGAGAAGCACCCAAAGTGGGGCTTGAACTCACAGATCACTATGTAATAAAACTCAGAACAAAAAAATACTATTTCTAATAAACAAAATGAAAAATAAAAATTTAATGATATGTTATAATGAGTATATGAAGATCAGATGGAGCTTTGTCTCTGCGTCTGGGCATATGTGTATGGTTTGGAACAGATCCACTTCCTCTCCGTGTAATGCCTAGCACTACTGGCACCTTTGTCATTCAAATAGGCACATTCTCCTCCTCCTCTGATAGGAAAACTGCAACGGGAGAAGCAGAATCAATCAATTGGCCACCAGATATTTCTCCAAAAGCAGAGGGAATAAAGATGAGAAAATAAGGAAACTAACATTAATTCAGCCTCTAAATATAAGATGCATTACACACATCATCTCTTTAATATTAAAAATTACCCTCTGAGATATATACCATCTCTTTTTATGGACAAAAACAACAACAACAACAAACAAACAAACCAAAACAACAGAATTTTCCAAGATTCTATAACAAGTAAAACTACGATTCATGCCTAAATCGATGAAAATACAGGGCCCATGCTATTCCCATCTTCTTCAGTTTGGGAAAGAGAAGAGGGAAGAAATGCTGCTATGTTACAGGTAATTTTGTTGTTGTTGTTCTTGGGTCCTGATTTTCTCCTGTGGTATTCATCAGCATTTAAATGGCCTGACACAGACATCTGGGTCAGCATTTAGACTATAAGTTTTTCCTCTGTATTGTGTGAAATTGCTATAGCGTGACATGATTTGCCTATTGTTGAGACAAGCTAGCCCCTAATAAGTAAATAGTTAACAATATATTTTCTCCTTTAAACACTTACAGAATTAGATGAAGCTAACATTACTATTTCAGTATTATAGAGGAAGAGGTAAAGGTTAATACTAAATATTAACAAGCATCCACAATGTGCTAGGCACTGAACATACAACAGTGTGTAAATATGAGTTCTAACTCCTAAAATTTAACATCTGTCCAAGATCAAAAAGCTACTAGGTAACAACTAGTTTTCAGAACTATCAATGTCCTACCCAGTGCCCTTTTCACCAAATAAAGTGATATTTCCAATGCTGAGTACTTTTGATAACCTCATAAAGCAACTTTTCAAAACCTTCTCATGTCCTCAGACAAGAAAATATTTAGCAACATTGTCTGAATCCAAGCCTTCCAACATTATCCAAAACTTTTCCAGTAATATAAAGATCCAATAGATATATGATTGAGATTAAGTTTGACAATGCCAAACTGTACTTGTGCTAAACGTTATAATTATGATCTTATAAATAATGGATGCCATTGCCATCATTCATCCTTATGTAAATGGTTGAAGATTGATGCAGTGATAGTTTAATGTAAAAATTTAACTTCCATTTATATAAGATTTTAAAGTTTAAGTAGTGCAGCCATATACATCAAAATCTCTGATTCTCACATCAACCCTGTGAGATCAATCGAGCAAGTACAATTAATTTTGTTGTAGAGGTAAGCAACAGACTTAAAGATAGTGTGTAGTTTGCTCAACATGAAAGACTTGGTCAATGACAAAGAGGAGGTTGTTGTCAAGTTCACCATTCTAGCATGCCACATATCATAAGTTTTGTATTGGTTGGAGGAACTTTCAAAACCTCTGCTATCTACAATTTTTCACTTTATTTCTTTATAACTAATCTTAAAATTTTTTCAGAGGATATAATTGGAGAACACGTTTGGTTTCATGCAACGTAAATCCAAATACAAATATTGCTATCATATTTTTCAGAACTTACCAGCTGGTCCATTCAGTGCCATTTATCCATTTCCATGGTTGGCCTTGTTCTCTGCTGAGCCCAATCCAGTGGTCATAAGGGCCTTTATACCTCAATAGGAAATTCTTTTAGAAAACAAAGATGACATGAGTTAACCTGTCATCATCTGGCCTCTCCCAGAAGAAGTGTTGCTTCTATGCTATATTCTTATTTTTTAATATTTTATTTATTTGACACAGAGAGAGAGCACAAGCAGGAGGAAGTGGCAGAGGGAGAAACAGACTCCCCGCTGAGCAGGGAGCCTGATGCGGGGCTCGATCCCAGGACCCCAGGACCATGACCTGAGTCAAAGGCAGACACTTAACAGACTGAGCCACCCAGGTGCCCCTCTATGCTATATTCTTAACTGCTCTTATAATTTTCTCCTTTTTAATTTTGTATTGTTTAATAATACAGAGAGAATAGATATGCCATAGTAGCATACACACATAAATATTAAAACTGAGAGAAATTACTGATAATTTGCTTTTAATTCAGCATAGTGCCACTTTGTATTAATATTCCACAATTTGTTTATCTGTTCTATTATTGGTTTCCACTAGCATTATTTCAAGTTTGAAGTTATTATGAATGCTGTTATGACGTTCTTGGCACCTGTCCTGGAATGAATGGTCAGGTCACAATGAATACGTATTGTCAATTTTACCAAATGACACCAAATTCTTCTCTGATGTCATTGTAAGAAATTATACACACCAGCATTTTAGGCCAGTTTTCCATGCTACACATCTTTGTTAACACTTAGAGCATCTTTTATGATTACAAGTATTAATTTCAATATAATTAAATGTGTGATTTTCCTTTATGATTAGTGGATTTAATGACTTCTTAGGGAAATTTTTACTTTCAAGTCATAAAGATGATATTTATTTTTGTTTTTCCTTGAGATATACAGTTGGGATACTGATTTTAAATATTTCTTTTTTTTTTTCTTTAAGATATGCATTTACAGCTCTAAATTTCCCTCTTAGTATTGCTTCTACCACATATCTTAAGTTTTGGTATGTTGTGTTTTCATCTCATTTGTCTCAAGGTATTTTCTCATTTCCCTTATGATTTCTTTCTTGTTCACTGGATGTTTAACAATGAGTTGTTTAATTTCTACATATTTGTGAATTTTCCAGTTTTCCTTCTGTTGTTGATTTCTAGTTTCATTCCATTGTGATTGCAAAAATAACTTTATGTGATTTCAGTCTTCTCAAATTTACTAACTTGTTTCGTGGCCTATCATACGATCTATCCTGAAAAAATGTTCCATGTGCATTTGAGAAGAATATGTATTCTATTCTTGTTGGGTGGATTGTTCCACATATCTTTTAGGTCTAATTGGTTTGTAGAACTGTTCAAGACTTCTATTTCCTCACTGTTCTTCTGTCTGATTGTTCTACCCACTATTGAAAGTGGAAGCATGAAGTCTTCAACTATTATAATAGAACTATTTCTCCTTTCAGTTCTGTCAATTGTTCCTTCATATATTTGGAGACTGTGTTATTAGGGTGCTATATGTTTAAAATTGTTAGATCTTGATGTATCAAAATTTGTATCAAGATATAATATCCTTCTTTGTGTCATAAACTTTTTTGCTTTTGTCTATTTCGTCCAACAAGAATATAGCCACACAGCTCATTTTGGTTACTATTTGCATTCAGTATCTTTTTCCATCCTTTCACTTTAAACTTCTTTGTGTCTTTTTTTTTTTAATTTTATTATGTTATTTTAGTCACCATACAATACATCATTAGTTTTTGATGTGGTTATCCACGATCCATTGTGTCTTTATATCTATGGTGAATCTCTGATAGAGAGCATAAAGATGGATCTCGTTTTGTTTTTATCCAACTGCCAGTCGTATATAAGCATTTTGTCCCTATACATCTCCAACCCCATCTTTATATTATTGTTATATTGTTATATCATATTGTTATATTATATATGGATACATTGTATGCCCATTAACATAGATCTATAATATTGCATTATGAATTCACCTGTTAAATCATATGTGAAAAGAGAGAAGTTACAAACTAAACCAAGAGTATAGTAATACTGGCTTTTATATTTATCTGTGTGGTTACCTTTATGAGTGTTCTTTATTATTTTGGCTCTGAGTTACTATCTAATGTACTTTAATTTCAGACTTTATAGTTGCTTAAGGATGGGTCTACTGCTAAGAAACTCCCTTAGCTGCTATTTGTCTAGAAGTATCTTATTTTCCCCCCTATTCTGAAAGATTGTTTTGACAGATACAGAATTCTTTTTTTTTAAGATTTTATTTATTTTATTTTTTTTTTCAGAGAGAGAGACAGAGCACAAGCAGGGAGAGCAGCAGGCAGAGGGAGAAGCAGGCTCCCCGCTGAGCAAGGAGCCCAATGCAGAACTCAATCCCAGGACTCTGGGATCATGACCTGAGCTTAAGGCAGACTCTTAACCAACTGAACCATCCAGGTGTCCTGACAGATACAGAATTCTTGACAGGCAGGTTTTTTTGCAGAATTTAAAATATGTCATTCCACTGCTTTCTGGCTTCTATAGTATCTCAGGATAAATCAACTGTTAATCTTACTCAGGATCCCAACACCTGACTAGTCCCTTCTCTTGCTGCTTTCAAATTTCTCTCTTTGGGTTTTGACAACTTGACTAATTTGTCTTAGTGTGGATTTCTTTGAATTTATCCTGCTTCGGAGTTTGTTGAGGCTCTTGGACACATATATTCATCTCCTTCCTCAACTTTGGGAAGCTTTGGCCATTATTTCTTTACATATTTCTCCTACTTTTTTTCTTTTCCTTCTGAGATCCCTACAATGCATATATTGGATTCCTTGATGATACTACAGTTCCTTCAGGATCTGTTCGTTTATTTTGGGTTTTTCTTTTTTCTTTTCTTTCTAGTCCCAAATGGGATACTTTCAATTATCTTCAAGTTTGCTGACCATTCCTTCTTCCTGTTCAAATATGCTTTTGACACTTCTAGTGAGTTTTTCATTTCAATTATTGTACTTTTCAGCTCCAGAATTTCTATTTGGTTCCTTTTAATAATTTCTACTTCTTTATTGATATTCTCATTTTAGTTATATATCCTTTTCCTGATTTCTTTTACTTTTTCTGTCTATGGTTTTCTTTAGCTCATTGACCATATTTAGTACAGTAGATTTTACATCTTTAACTAATATTTCCAATGTCTGGGCTCCCTCAGGAATGGTTTCTTTCAGATATATCTCCCTGTGAATGGGTTATGCCTTCCTATTCATCTGTATGTTTTGTAATTTCTTTGTTCAGAACTAGACATTATGAATATTTTATGGTGTTAACTCTGGGAATATAATTCTTTTCTTCAGAGATTGTTGAATTTTGATTATTGAGATTTGGAGCCACTGTCTGTGACTTTTCCTAATAATTTTTGCAAAATGTGTATTCCTTACTGTGTGTGGTCACTGAAATTTTTATTCTATTATTTCTATGGTCAGCCAGTTCCCTGCCAAAGATTTTCTTAAATGCCTGGCTCCCAAAAGGGGAAAAAAACAAGTACTGTTTCTTTAAATTCCTTGGAAATCACTTCAGTTGGTAGAAGTTGAAGAAAAAACGGCAGCCCACCTCTGTATCTGCCCCTCGGCAATGAAAAACAGCACTCAAAAATAACAGCACATAACCACAATATTTGAAGAACAATGTTCTTATTGGCCATCCTGAATCCAGCAAGTTTTACCAGGAACATGGCCAGAAGTCTCCATATCTCCCAGCCATGATGAGGTGTGGGGAATTGTAGCCACTGCATGGGAAAGCTGAAATTCACTGGGATTAAGTGAAATTTACTAACCTCTTCATTAAGTTATCCCTTGGATGCTGCAAGACTCCAGAGTTCCAACTCAGTTACTTGAAAGAGTTTCTGCCAGCTCAATAGTTGTTTAGGTACAGACTCCAGGAGCTTTCTACTCTGCCATCTTCTCTGATATCACTCCTGCCTGATTCATTTTGAAGCAATGTTAACTTAATACAATTTAAAATTATGTTTCCCTCTCTAATTGTCTAATTCTATTTGCACACTTCTTGCTCATAAGTCAAAGAAAGCACTGGCTTGCTCTCTGGCCACCCTCCTGCTATGAATGTTAAGGTAACTGTAGATGGCCCACTGTAGAATGTAGCATCTGCTAGCTTTTCTCTCATGTTATAAATCAAAATCTAGGTAGGTATCTAAACCTGTATTTTAGATATTCTCACATAGAATTACATAGCATATAGGAAGAGCCAATTTTTTTTATCCTAGGTAGAACTATTTTCTTACCAGTTCCTGGATGGTTTCAACCTGAACAAGATCAGCACCATGTGAGTCACAAAACCTCTGGCTGAATGTCCAATTCTTGATGTCATCAGAAAAATAGAAACACTTTCTTTGGAAACCAATCCAGGTTTCTGGGCATGCGGCTTCAAAACACTCTGATGATATCTGATGCAATTTTCTTCCAGTTACTAAAAATAAAAACAACTTGCTTTTATATTTTCCTATATATATTACCAAGTGCTTTCTAATACACTTTTCAATAGTCATGTGAAATACTAAATGTATTATCCTTATTTTTCAAATAAGGAATAGAATTTTGAAAGTCATTGCATATATTACACAGCAAACGTCAAAGCTAAGATTCAAGTAATACCTTAGTTAGTGGATGAATTGAAAAAAGAATAAATAATGCCTTAAACTTTGGACTATATACCTGTCTACTTGGATTTCAACAATGTTACCTTTCCTTAAAATATTAGGTACATCAATAGCAACATTTTATCAGCCTTAGAGAACAGATAGTTCAAGAGCTCTAGATGCTTTCCTAAATAAAATGAGGTGCAGGGTATAGGTACCTTTTGTGAATAGTCTCTTGAGATGAAATGTTCGGATACATGTCTAAAGAGTCCCATGAGGGTAAAAGAAGTAGTTTTACCCTGAGCATTCTTCTACTAAGTAGAAGGCTACTAAGGAAATTTTGCGATGCTTTCTATATTTTGAAGCTGACAATACTCCATTGGACAGGCTTTTCTGATACACTTCCCATATAACCGGGAGAGATGCTCTCTTCAAGTAGGATTCAGAGCATGGAAAGTTTCTTCAGATGGTCTTTATTGATCCATTAGTAGCTGACTCTTCCACTTCTATGACCATTTTCTCCTATTTACAGCTTCTTTATTAAGTAATGTTAATTTAAATCTCTATTTTTGCTTCATCAATATATAAGGTATTTTATTTTTGGTTATAGAATGGCAAGAATAGATCATTCCCCATGGAATCATAAAAATATTAAAAAATAAATAAGGATCCCCTGGAACATAGAATATTCCAAGCATTATTGACTCTAGGATTTGTAAGCAGCACTTGAAAAGCATGTTAGGATATTGCATCTGGATGTAATAACAGCAGGGTAGGTTTTAGGTTATTACTCAGGTTGGGGTGGAGGTGTAGAGGAATATTCTTGTAATTTTCTACATCAAAACTTGGCTTACATTTGATACAGTGCAAGTGTGTTCTAAGCTATAAGGGTATCTTCATTAGCTAAATTGCTTCCAGGGTATGCAATCCAAGAAAGAATGTGTTGTCTGGGAAAACTGGCTATATAGTCCAAAAAAGTGGGAGCTGGAAGATGCTAGAGTATCTGGACAAGAAGACCACAATACCTCTATGCCTGCACTGTTATACAGCCAGTTAGTAGTTTTGATAGTCTCTCACTTCTATATCTCTCTTTCCATCTGATTTGCTTGTATTCATGCAAGCATGTGTGTTATAGAAGTAAAATAAATCTTTGTCTCTGAAAACCACAATGAGTTATCACCTCACACTTGTTAAAATGGCTATTTTTTAAAAGACAAAAGACAACCAGTGCTGGCAAGAACGTGGAGAAAAGGGAACTGTTGTACACTGCTCATGAGAATATAAATTGGTATAGCCATTATGGAAAACAGTATGAAGGTTTCTCAAAAAATTAAAAATAGAACTACCTTATAATCTAGTAACCCTGCTTCTGGGGATATATCCAAAAGAAATGAAATCATTATCTTAAAGAAATATCCGCATTCCCCTATTCATTGCAGTATTATTCAAAATACCCAAGATATATAAATAATACTCAGCCTTCAAAGTGGAAGCAACCCTGCCATTTGTGACAAATTGGATAAGACTGGACGACACTGTGCTAAATCAAATAAATCAGATGCAGAAATACAAGCACTATATGATCTTACTTTATATATGGAATATAAAATAGTCAAAATCATAGAAGAGAGTAGAATGGTCGTTGCTAGGGAAGGGGAAGTGGGGGAAATACTGAGATGTTGGGCAAGGGGTACCAAGTTTCAGTCATGCAAGAAGAATAAGTTCTGGAGATATAACACACAATGTGACTATAGTTAACAATACTGTATTGCATACTTAAAATTTGCTAAAAGGCTAGATCTTAAGTGTTCTTGACAACAGAAAGGTAACTGAAGTGATGGATATGTTGATTAGTTTGTAGTGATTATTTCACATATATACAGATATCAAAACATCAAGTTATACACCTTAAATATACACAATTTTTGTCAATTATACCTCAATGACTTGGGGGAAGGGTGCAGAGATTAAACACCATGACTAAGTGCAATTAATCCCAGAATGCAAGGATTGTTCAATATACAAAAGTCAATTAACCTCGTATACCATAATAATAGAAAAAGATTAAAAAACAAAACAAAAAAACTGATCATCTCTATTTTGTAAGCCGCCACGTTTTTTGTGATCCTCTCTTCTTTCTAATATCTCAGCCTATAGCCTCATTAATATATGGTTTAAAAATTACTGAATTCTTGGCCAATATTCAAACATAAACACAATTTTATAAATCATACACATTCAGCTTCTACAGTTCTATTTTGATGTGTCCTCCATTAGGATCTACACATAATACCTTTGAAGTAATTTTAATTGAAAATTTAATTTCAATTATATTGTACACCTGAAACAAATATAATGTTATATGTCTATTATAGCTCATTTTTATATATCCTTAATCCAAAGAAAATTTTTTTAAAAAGAAAATGTAATTTGAGAGTAAATTGTATATATATAAATATATAAAGTATATAAATATATGTTTGTAATTAAAATATATGAGTATATAAATATATATGTATACATATAGAGTAAAACTACATGGTTAAAGGCCTAGCAATAATATAAATTAAAACACAATATGATTGGCAACTGGGTCCTACTTTATGCGGACTCTGGTCCTTCTATTAATCTTCCAATAATATGACCTCTATATTACACAATTAAGATCTAAGACCCCACTTATAAGGTAATTGGAATTTAACTCAGTGAAATTAAACTGTAAAGAAGTGTAAAGAACAGGAAAATTATCAATAAGTCCTTTCTTCTTTTGGAAAATGGACTTCTCTAGATGAACAAAGATTACAATTCACTTACCTAACAAACTCATAACTATACCAAGCAATATAAACACCAGACATATGACTGTGGATAAAACCAAGACTTGATTCAGGGTAATGGTAATAGAATGCTTCCTTGGATGCTGGTAATCTGGAAAAAAAATATTGAAAACATGTTTTTGTTTTTGCTTATGTTTCCATTAAATGCAGAACAGACATCAGACTACTAGAAGCATTAACCATCAAAATGTTACTTCCACTTCTTTCCTTTTCGCTAGAGGGGGCAATTGGCCTGTCATTTTGTGAATTTACAATTTTCTCTCTCAAGTTTAATTGTTCACAGAAGTTAAAATTGATCTTAACACACAACTAACCCATGAACAGCTTTGCACCCCTCCCAAAAAATAAAAATCTCATTAAACTTCCAGACCCAGCTACCAATTTAATAGAAATACAAGGGAGAGAGAATCATGTCAATTAAGCAACAGGAATGAAATCAACAAACTCCAGACTGTTGGAAATTCTACATAATAAATTATCTTGAATCTTAAAGAAAAAAGTGACAGGCAAATTTTAAAAAGCAACCATGAGGGAATCTTTTGATTAAAAGAGACTTAAAAGGCTTTAAAAAATAAGTTAAAATTAAAGTGAGAAAATGATTCTCATAAAAATCAATTTAATGTGATTTGAGAGAATACTTGGAGGGCTTCTGAGCTGGATAGCATACTTCTTTCTCTAACAAAGACAGTATTTAACAAGGATGCTCAACTTAGAATAATCCATTAAGCTGTATATTTGTTTTGTACATTTTTCTACATTTGCATTGTATCTCAAAACATCCTGCATTATCTAAAACCTCTTGTAAATTTTATCATTGGAACTCTCTTCTGACTCCATCTTTTGGCTACTGCACACACTTTTAGCTACTTCCTCTAGAGATGTTCTTGGCTAAACAGGCATATTTCTCTCTAACATTCTATCCACACTAGAAAGCTTTTCATTAATGTTTACCAGATTGACCACTGGGTTGATGTACATGCAGGAAAGATATGAATAACACTACAAAGGATCCAAAAAGTGAGCTGACACTGGAATCAAAGCCCAGAGAACGTCTGAACCTAGCCAGAGTAATTGCCTGCTAAAACCAAGAACATTAATATACTCCAAAAATTTAAAGTCAAAAGTCTCACAACAAAATATTCATTCAAAATGTCCAGAATACAGTCCGAAATTACTCAGTGTATGAATAACCATGAAAATTTCAACTTTCATGGGAAAAGACAATCAAGAAAAGCCAAGGCTAAAATGAGACAGATGTTGGAATTATCTGACATATACTTTAAAGCAGCTGTTATAGAAATACTCAAAATACCAAATGAATAAAGAAATAAATGAAGTCATTTAATAATAATTAGAAATCATCTTTTCCTCATCTGAACTGCCTTCTCTCTAAATTGATTACTACCTCTACCAAAGACAAAAATATTTTTTTCAGTCATAAATTACAACACTTCAGTTTTCCCCAACTGGTACAAAATACCTTTTTTCACTTATTAAATCATCATATAAAGCCTCAAATACAAGTGTTTTTTTAAAAGTTTCAAGCTTCATATAAATGCATAATATATATGAGATTATATATGTATATTTAGATATTTTCTTTTTACTGTGTAGCCAATGTAAGATAATTCCATTTGAAAGCTCTACTGTTTTTTCTTTGACTGTTTGTTTTTTATTTGTTAAAAAAACTGTTCATTTTACCTTTTCTTTACTTTTTAATTCTTTCTTTCCTAAGAACTTTCATGATAGATTTTTTACCTTATTTATTTATTTATTTATTTATTTATTTATTTATTTATTCTTAAAGGTGTTATTTATTTATTTGGGGGAGAAAGAGAGAGAGTCCACAAGCTGGAGGAAGGGGCAGAGGGAGAGGGAGAAGCAGACTCCTCGTTGAGCAGGGAGCCAAACGTGGGGCTCGATCCTAGAACCCTGAGATCATTACCTGAGCCTAAGGCAGACACTAAACCGACTAAGCCACCCAGGTGCCCCTTTTTACCTTATTTAATAATGATAATACCCTGTGTCTATATAACACTTTCAACTGTGTATTGTTCTTTTCAGTGAAATTAATTTTTAATAATAAATAGTAAGTGTATAACAATTAATAATTAATATCAATAAATGATTTAACATTAATATTAAATAAATTAATATTTAATATCAATATTGCTAATAAAATGACACTAATAAATAATGGATTTATTTATTTTAGAGAGTGGGGGGAAGGACAGAGGAAGAGAGAGAGGGACAGTTTTTTTTTTAAGATTTTATTTATTTATTTGACAGAGAGAGACACAGCAAGAGAGGGAACACAAGCAGGGGGAGTGGGAGAGGGAGAAGCAGGCTTCCCGCCGAGCAGGGAGCCCGATGTGAGGCTCAATCCCAGGACCCTGGGACCATGACCTGAGCCAAAGGCAGACAATGAACAACTGAGCCACCCAGGCACCCTGAGAGAGAGACAGTCTTAAGCAGACTCCACATGGAGCCCAAACATGGGACTTCATCTCATGACCCTGAGATCATGACCTGAGCCAAAATCAAGAGTTGGGTGCTTAACCAACTGCACCACCCAAGCACCCCTCAGTGAAATTAATTTTTATTCATGTTTTTAATTGTTAATTTCATCATTTGTTTAATTTCTTAATTTTAGTACTTAATAGCTGATTGATGAATTATTAATAATATTAATAAAATATTAGTATATGTTTCAATGACATTAACTTTTAAATATTTATTCTCAATCATAAATTTAACCTGACCCCATTCTCTTACATCTTTCTCTAAGAGTTCTCTCTCCTTACTTGTTAGGACAAGTGCACTTAAGTATCTGCATATTTTTACACAAATTATAAACTAATTTATAACCCCTAGAACTCCATCTCTCATCCTTGAAAACTCTTTAAAAGACAACCATTTTTCCTTTGCAGAAACTAGATCCCATCACTGCTATAATCTTACCACCTCAGTTCCCACATTCATGTCACACAGTCCAGCTTCTTACTTGAGATTCCCAGCCATTCAACTGGTAAAATATTTTTCTCCAGTCGATTGCTATCATGCATTTTGTGCCCAGTTTTTGCAGAACAGCTCACTCAGTTGGCGGTTTCAGCTCCAGAATGTCACAAAAACAAGAGAAAAAGCTCACATTCTGGTTAGAACTTCCTCTAACTGAAGTTTTGGCTTCAGTTACACATGTGTAAAAAGGAAACAGGAACAAAATGACACTGAAAGAGCTTGCTACAGCAAAAGCCTCAAAATATAAATTTTCGAGTTTATCCTTTTTACATTTCTTCAGTATTTTGTTGTCAAAGAGGACAGAAAGTAAACCTTGATAAATTTCACATTATCTTGGAATTCCTACACAGATGGCAGAACTAATAACAATACTTTTACTATTATTCTTATGGTGTGATAACATAAAACGATGGTTTATTGTCACTTACTATGATCCAGAAGTACTGATGAAAGACTTAAATATGTGTTCTCATTTAATTGGTACAACTAAATAATGAAGCTGATATTATTATTACTTTTATTTTAAAATGAGCTCCTTGAGTAAGGACTGAGTAATTTGTCTAAGTTCACAGTTACTGACAGACTCCATGATTAAATGACTGATTTAGGAACTTCTTTGAAATTAAGACCCTACACAGTCAGTAAAGGTCAAATGTTGACTCCTGTGACATTTCTGAGTCAGTCATACACTCATAAAATCTCTGTTTCCATTCCTGAAACAGCTCCTCACTATGAGAAAAAGAAACAGAAAAATTAGTTCTTGCAGTCATGATGATGTGTTAGCTGAATGAAACAGTAAGGCTGAAATGGCAGAAGGGCTCCAGTTGAAGGGAACTGTGTTCATCTAGTTCAAGAGAAGAGAACATGGAGTATAGTTGGGAAAACTCCTGATACTTAAGACGGCTGGAACACAAACTGCGTGAGGTGAAATGTGAGAAAATAACTTTCTAATTAACACAAGGGCTCTATATTAAACTGAATTTCATGACCTCTAAGCCCTAAGATCATGTTCACTTTCTTAAGAAACCCTGTGTTGACACCATATTTGAGATACACCGACATGTTTTTACATGGTGAAAAAACAGGGGACACTGAGAGCTATTTTAATTTCACTTAGGAAAAGGATTTTTTTTTTCTTTTCTGAAACAAGAATTTTTTTTTTTTTACATTAGGTATATACTTAAGAGACAGAAATAAGTGACTAATCGTCTGGCTGTGAAAAGAAAAAAGTCCCTTCAGGATCATTTCTATTCAATAGAAGGAACTATTCCAAGTGACTAATGTAAAAGTAATTTTATCAGATTTTTTGTTGGAACACATCACTGATAAAAAAAAAATTACAGGAAACAGCAAAAACTCATGAAAATTATTCAGTCTACTTGACCTCTGCCCCACTTTTCTTGGTCTTTCTGGTTTTGACAACAGAATGGATGATAAGTGTATTCAGTGTGAGAGAAATATAAAAGCCTGTGTATACTATGTGAAAGAACACCGCCTTTGGAGCAAAATAATCCCAGCCCAAACACAACTCTTAAAACGCAGTAGTTTTTTTTATTTTCCATATATATATGGTAGGCAGAATTTTAGCCCCTCAAAGATTCCATGTCCTAATCCCCAAAGACTGTGGATATGTTACCTTACATGGGAAAAAATTTAAAAAACTCTTTGAAGATGAGGCGCCTGGATGGCTCAGTAGGTTAAGCCTCCAACTCTTGATTTCAGCTCAGGTCATGATCTCAGAGTTGTGAGATGAGCCCAATGCAGGGCTCTGCATTGAGTATGGAGCCTGCTTATAATTCTCTCTCTCCCTCCCCCTCTGCCCTTCCCCCTGAACTTGTGTGAGTTCACTCTCTCTCTCTAAAAAATAAGGTCTTTGAAGATGTGGTTAAAAATCTTGAGATGAGGGGCACCTGGGTGGCTCAGTCGGTTAAGCGTCTGCCTTCAGCTTGGGTCATGATTCTGGGGTCCTGTGATCAAGCCCCACGTCAGGCTTCCTGCTCAGTGGGAGCCTGCTTCTCCCTCTGCCCCCTCCCTGCTTGTGCCCTAAATCTTAAAACAAAACAAAACAAACAAAAATCTTGAGATAAAGAGATTATTCTGGAGGATCTGAGTGGACTCAATTTAGTCACATAGGTCTTTCTTCAAGGAAGGCAGCAATGTTACCTAGCGAAAGGTTTGAAGGAGCTGTGCTGCTGGCTTTGAAGATCAAGCAACCCAAGGAATGCAGGTGGTGTCTAGAAGCTATAAAAAGCAAGGAAACAGATTCCCCCCTAGAGCTCCAAAAGGAGCACAGCTCTATCAACAACTTGAATTTTGCTCTATAAGATCCATTTTGAATCTCTGACCTCCAGAACTATAAGATAATAATTTCTAATTATTAAAACCATAATTTGCGGTAATGTATTATTACACAAATTATTATTACAGCATATTAATTAAGTTCTCTCACTCTCAAGATCTATATGGTAACAGGCTTGTTCTGAAAAATGAAATCTATGATTTAGGTAAAGGTATCCAATAAACTTCAGCTGTTAAATACTTAGTGTTCAGGTACTAATAGTTTATGCCTGCTTAAGGAAACATTATGAGCTTTAGTATCTAAAATGTTCATGATGAAGCTTTGCTCTGAAGAATATCTACTATCTTTTTTCTTCCAGTTTCAGATAAAGCCATTTCCCCCAAGTGCAGAACACTGGCCAGAGCTTGTTCTGATAGTCCAGTGCCTGGGTTTAAATATTCTGAATATCAGTGATTCTTAAGGGTAGGAGAAATGGTATGTTTCATCCTAGTGCATCATGCAAAGGATCTGAGAGAAGTGAGGGAAGCCTGCTAAGCAAAGCAACTATTGTTAAGTAGCTCAGCAAAGAAAGTACCCTCTTCAGGAAGCAAAAACATTGAGCATGAGCAGTCTATGATGAATTGCGATGGCCAAAAAATGACTGTGTGCAAGACCAACTACATGGACATACTGTCGGTCCAGCAGCAGATCTCTATGCTCAAAAGGGCTTCCCACTTGGTTTAATATGCCAGCATTGATGTCTTCAAATTATTACTATTATTTAAACAAGACACTCCACATTTTTATTTTGCACTTGACTCTGCAAATTATGTAGTATGTCCTGACTCTGTGTGTGTGAAAGAGGTGAATCAGTTTTGACCTCATCTAACATAGCTTTCATTTTTTACTTAAATGTTTTTTCTCAATTTTCAGATTATTATAGAGTCATATGCAGGTATGACAAATATTACAGAAAGAACCCATTTTCCCTTTAGCCAGTTTCCCCCAGGGTAACATTTTAAAAACTACAGTATGCTTGGTTTCCACGTCTTTGCTTAGTAAAAATATCACAAACATTATTTCACCAACATCATACGTGTATTTACATAGACACATTCATACATATAGAAAAAGAATATGCTGTGCCCGTCCTAAAATAAAATTGAATCAAGAAGAATGCATTAAAATCAATCAATCAATTAATTAATTAAAACTACAGTGTGATATCACAGCAAAGATAATGACATTGACACACAGTCAGGATACAGAACTATTCCAATACCACATGGTTTCATCAGCAGGGCTTAACATCAAAAACTTTAAAAAATCAGCAGGCTTGGTTCTGAGAGAGCCTGAGGGTGATGAGAAACTGAGTCCCAACCCTTAAAGAAACAGTATAACAAACAACCCTGCCTAGGTATAGCATAAAAGCAGCAGTTTGAAAAGCATATGGGGTATGCAGAAAGATTTATTTCCTGGTCTCAGAGCATATACAGGAGGGGCAGATACCTTTGGGAGACTTCTCCAAGAACAAAGGAGTTGGCTGGTGCCATTTCTCTCCCTGCCCACCAGCCTAGAAACACAGATACCTATGGGAATCAGACCAAACACTCTCCATCTAGCTTTGCTGAGAGTGCGCCCTGCCCCTGCATTCTCTTGCAGACTACACCATCCAACCATCCCCATTCAGCAGAGTCCCTCTAAAGTGGCTACAGGTCTCAACCTGCAAACGTCCCCAAAAATGGCCAGCACCACTCCAAAGAGTCTTGCCCTGGGGAGAGGGTAAGATAACCACACACACCAGTATGACTGTAGCCCCAGCAGTGGGCTGAGGGGAGGCATCTAGTCTGACCCAACTCAAGCCCAAGGTGGCCTAAGACTAGTCCCTTAACAGCACAGGGACCAAACTCTGCCCATAACAGGCAAAGAAAGCATTGCAGACAACTGGACTGAAAGCAAAAACATCTCAATCACAACAGTAGGGCACGTACAACACATTTAGGAGACATCCCTGAAGCACCAAGTTCTGATGCACAAGGGGACATTGCACTACAGGACACTACCAGAACTCTTCTTCATAAGGCCACTATTTTTAAGAGAAGGAGATGTAGCTGACTTTCCTAACACATAGAAACAGACACAGAGAATTAGACAAAATGAGGACACAGAGGAATGTGTCCCAAATGAAAGAACAGGGAATAATCATAGCAAATAAATAAATAAATAAAAATAAAAAAAACAAAGATAAGCAATATGCCAGATAGAGAATTCAAAGGATTGGTCATAAAAATAGTCACTAGACTTGAGAAAAGAGTGGAAGGGCCAATGAGACCTTTAACAAAGAGATAGAAAATGTCAAAAAGAACCAATCAGAGATAAAGAACTCAATAACTGAAATTAAAAATACACTAGAGGAAAAAAATAGTAGACTAGAGAGAGCAGAAGAATAAATCAAGGAGCTGGAAGATAAAGTAATGGAAAACTATCAAGCTGAAGAAGAAAAAGAAAAAAGTAATAAAAAATATGAATAGGTTAAGAGAACTCAGCAATGTCATCAAGCATAACATTTGCATTATAGAGATACCAGAAGGAGAAGAGAGAGAAAAGAGGAAGAAAAATTAATTGAAGAAATAATAACTGAAAACTTCCCTAATCTGGGGAAAGAAACAGAAATCCAGATCCAGGAAGCACAGAGAACCCCAGCAAAATCAACCAAAGGAGGCCCATACCAAGACACACAATAATTAAAATGGCAAAAAGTAGTGATAGAGAATTTTAAAAACAGTGAGAGAAAAGAAAACAGTTACATACAATGGCAACACCATGAAGCTATTAGCTGATTTTTTTAATTTTATTTTATTATGTAACCATACAATAC